TGCTGTTTCTGGAAAAGGCTGCTCCCCTCAGAACTATAACGTCTGATTGTGCCTGCGCTCTTCAGGAGTCAGCCCACACCAGAAACACTCTTTTCTTGGCTTCTGACAGACTCCGAAGCCAGGTGGCTGGCCCATCTCCAGTCTGCACTTACTGCCCTTTGCTTGCCTATCACAAAACTCCATTTCCCAAGCTCCTTTGCAGTTGAGGGAGGCCATGTGACAAAATTGGCAGAAGAGAAATACCTGGGAGTCTGTGGAAGTATCTCAGCCCTTCCACACTTGAAGCAAGGGGCCTAGGGAGGGGGGAGGGATGGTGGTGACAGATATAGCAGCAGAAGGAGTGACTGAAGAGCCCTCTCCTGACATGACTGAGCTTGACTGGAATCTCCATCTTGGTTCTTCCTGCCATTTGAGGAAGAAGCTTCCCACCCCCTCTTTTGATTAAATCTCCCACGTGTGGTTTTCTTGTTGTTGTTGTTTTTTGTTTGTTTGTTTGTTTGTTTTGTTTTTTTTCATTTACATCTAAATGTAATCCTGACACAGGAAGCTAGCACATTTCTGCCATCATTCTCTTGGCATATCCATAATCTAGGACCACAATGGCAGATGGAATTCACTGTATAATTATTACTTATAATGGTGACACCAGTACCAGTCATTTCTCGAATGCCTTGTGGGGCTATGGATTGGTCTAAGTGATCCTGGGCCCCTCAGAATGGTTATTACTGTCTTCGTTGCCCAATGAGGAAACTAGGCTCAGAGACATCAAATGAGCCACTCAGAATCACACAGCTAGACCGTGGAAGCCAGGCTCTGAACCCGGGTTCCGGGGACCCCCGTTCCTCATGACTATTGCAACAGACTTCTTTCCCAAGTAGGGAGACTTAAACTCAAGAGGGAAGGTGACTTACTCAAGATTGCACAGGGATTTCAGGGGCTGTAGTTATAACAAAGCAGATCGTCTGGGTTTCCATGATTCTATGGGTCTTTAGGCAGTGACAGGGCTTGAGGTCTAGGCTAAGGTCTGAAGGCAGTGGGAGCTAGGGAAGGTTCTAAGTAGAGTTTTCAGGGTGATTCACATATCAAAGGAAGGCTGTGACAATCTCTCTTCTTCCTCAGCTGTGATGGGGTGGGGCGGAGTGACATTTTATAGTCACAGCCACCTTTGGAACAACCTGGTCCCTTAGCCATATATATATGCATGTATACACATATGATACCATAAATATGTCACATATTATATACATACATACATACATACATACATACATACATACATACATACATACATATGATGACTATATAGGAATATATATTCATCTCCTGTCATGGGTGACTGAGTTCCCATGACCTGAGGAACTGATGTCTGATTTTCTGTAGATTGCTCAGATGGTAGGAGAAGGGTGAGGAGGACACTGGTAGAAGGACCATTGAGCTATCCTGTGCTAATCAGGTGGTGAGATCTGTCTGGCAGAGGGCCGTGCAGTGGAAACTTCCCAGACGAACAGGGAATTCTCCAGGCACCAGCCACCTGCCTGCTTATCTTCTCGGCCTATCCCTGGCAGGATCTGGGTGTTTGTTTTGAAGACATAGTGACAGGAGTCTAGGAGAGTTAGCAATAGGATGTGGCAGAGCAGGTTGAAATCCAACAGATCGGGGCTCCGGTCTCAGCTCTGTCACCTATAGCTTGCAGCTTCTAGCAGGTCAGCTCACTTTCCTGCTTATAGAAACGGGAAGAAGAATAAAATCTAACAGGGGCTGTTGTGAGTTACAAAAGGGACGGAGGCTCTCAGCACCCAGTGTGGCCCCAGCAGTGGTTGTAACTCCTCTCTCCTTGACTCACCCAAGGTCTAGAGGAACCTTTGGGCCTCTGCTTCTCCTTCCGAATTATGCTACTTTCCTCTCTGAGCTGTTTTGAGGATTAAGCAAAAAAGGCAAGCGGATTTGTGGTTTTTACCGACCTGCAGGATTTCTGTTTTCCTCTTAGTGTAACCTTGAGCAAACCACTACAGTTCTGGGACTCTGCTTTCTTTTTCTGTAAATGGAGATGGCAATATTGGATTCCCAGGGCTACTGGGGAAGGGATATACATACACACATAAATATCATAGGTTATATATACATAGTAGATTCAGAAGAAATGTTATTTTCATTATCTCCGATACTCAGTGAACACCTGGCACTGAGAAGGGACAGAGGAGGGGCAGAGAACTTTCCACGAGGCCAGTCCTGCTCAGCTAAGGAAGAAGAGTCAGTGGAGAGAGAACCGGTGCTGAGCTCCAGGTGAAGGCTGGATGCCCACATGGACTGGCTCCTGCTGTTTTCAGATGAGCTCTTGCAGAAACGGAATGAGTAACCCCATTTTTTTCAGACGGGGAAACTGAGGCCCACAAAAGGCAGCCGAAGGCTTAAGGCGGTGGTGAAAGTGGAGACCAAGCAGGGCTTGGGACTGAGATTCGAAGAGATTTGAAGCTGACTGCAGAACTTTCCTGTTCTGTGAACTAGCCTGCAGAGGTGGGGCGGGTGGGGTTGGGCTCACGAGTGATTCAGGTGAGAGTCAGCTTAGGATTTCCAAATGCTGGGTGGGTCCTCCCCGTCACATTCAGATGTGTGCTAGGTAGGCAGGAGGGTAACTGGCATGAGGCAGGGGGTGGGGAGCACACAGAGAGAGAATGCCTTATCACTCACTTGGGGGTAGAGAAGCGGGTTCTTGCTACCTTGGCTAGCAGTGGGTGCAGTGGGAAACTGAAGCAGGCAACGGCCTTTTCGGGGTCACCCCAGCAGATGGATGTGCTGGCAGGCACCTTGATGGACCTGGCTCTGGTCTCCTTGGTCACATGAGTTTTTCCTGTATAATTATTATTTAAACATTTTTATTTTAGATTACTTTTACTTTACCATACGTTGTGTAAATGTTTTGCTCATACGCACACATGCCTACGAACACACACAAACACATATGCACCGCAGGTGTGGCCGGTACCCACAGAGGACGAGGATGTCAGCTCTCTTGGGACTGGAGTAAGAAGCAGCTGTGAGCCACCATGTGGATGCTGGGAACCCAGCCCACGTCCTCTGCAAGGGCAGCAAGTGCTCTTAACTGCCCAGCCAGCTCTGCAGCTCCTTTCCTGGATTCTTCACATCAGGGCTCATCCCACGCAAGCAACCAGCCTCTGGGGATCTTTTTAGTCAGCCAGACCCTGTGCTTGGGGTTTAAGGAGGCCAGAGTGACCAAGACAACTTCAGGCGGGAGAGGATCATCTTCCATCTCTCACCACCGCGAGCACACAGAGCTTCCTGCTGGAGAGAGCCGGAAGGCGGTGTGTCCTGTGGAGCAGGAGCGCAGGGAAAGGTGACTGTGGGCCGTGAGCCTTCTAGCAGAACAGGGATGGCCATGAGCTAGCCTTGATGTCCTCCCAACCTGAGTATTCACCTGCATGTTGGACCTCTCCTTTAAGGTGGACCAAATCCAAACTCTACTGTCCCAGTTGCCTGCCTGTGCCTGAGTGGTCTCCCCGGGAACAACCCCATCTGAATGTTCTCTACCTCTCTATCCCACACCCCGGTGCCAATTGGCAGGCGCTGGCACCTCAGCCACCATTTCTCTTGTCTGCGCCTTCCTCTGCTGCTCCACCTTCTTGGTTACGCTTGGTCTCTGGAGGCCTGTATTGGCACCCTGGCTGGTGTCTTGACCTCCATTACATCCTCCCTTCATCAGTTCCGTACTCCCATTGCATCCCTCCTTGACAGCATCCATCTTCTGGTGGCACGATCTGCCCGGAGTGTGCGTACAGCCAGGGCTCATTTGCTCTCTGCTGGCGCAGAACCTGCCCTTACTAACTACCTGGTCTGATTATCCCACTGTTCAAATGGGAAGCCGGCCCTAGAGGCTTGTGTATGGTCATAGCAAAGGAGACTTTGACTCAATTTTCTTGATTCCCAGGCCAAGCCTCTTCCCTCCAGTGCCACGGCTAGTTAGCATTTGTTGCTTTCAGTACAGAACAGAGGTCTGGGAGTGAGCTACGGGTGACTCCTGGGGTCCAGGCCCAGGGTGAGGGCGGGCCTGGGAGTAGAGGTTAGAGATTCATGCCACTTCTTCTTTTATTTCTTGATCACCAGAAGGTCCTCTTTCCTGTGGGCAATGGAACCTCAACTTTCCTCCTGGCCCTCATTATTTTGCTGACAGCCACCTGACTCATGCTTCCTTGCCCGGCTGGGTGGTTCCAGGAGGGGCCTTGCATCTGGAGATGCAGGGGAGCCGGAGCTGGTCTCAGTATCCTGGGGCTCCAGTTCCTCCCCGGGTCTGTCCTGGCTTGCTCGGTCTCCCTAGAGCAGCTGGCACTTGTCCCAGTAGAGCATGGGAACAGCTCTGGCTTGGAAGCAGGTCGGGCATTCTGGCAGGCCCCACCTTTCCCACCTGGTGCGCTTTCTTTCCTGTGCCCAGAGATGCCCGAGAGCCAGCACAGGGATGAACGGGCCTGTCCACCAAGCCTCGACCCTGGGTGTGAGCTGGGTGTGCTGGGAAAACCGAGGGGGAGAGCTCGCAAGGGAAAGGACCAGGAGATGCTGTGATTCTGCTCCTTCTAGGCTCAGTTTCCCCAGCTGTAAAAAAGAGCCAAAAGCTTAGCCGACCATCCAGCTGCAAGATGGCACTTGGCCAGCCCTGGACAACTTTGAAAAAAAAAAAAAAAAAAGTGCCCTGTCTACAGGGTAACGTGAGATCCGTGTATTTGCCTAGGGTGGTTTTCTATGCCTGCTTAATAGATCATGTACACTGAGGACCAGCAAGGAGAAGGGTGGGAGGCCGTGCACCCCAAGGATCTTGAGTGACAGCCTTCCGGGCCACCATGCAACAATGAATAAAACATCTTGGCCAAGGCTGGAGCAGAGGGAGTCGAGGTGACAACTGGAGGGAGGAGTGGGGGTGGAGCCGTGGGAGGGGTGGGAGGGGACCGGTCGGTGCTGGGGCAGTACTGGCGTCGCACCGAGTTGCCAGCCGAGGAGGCAGCGGTGGCGGTTGGTTCGTACCCATCAACTCTCAGAGCCATGAGCCGTGAGTCCGACCCCCAGGCCCCACGCGCTCTGGGATCGGTGGCCTGCAGGCGGAGCCTTGAACGCCAGGCTCAACTTGAACTTGTCTCTCTTCTCTGCAGGAAAGAATCCCTCGCTTCAGTTCCCGCTGTTGCTGCTGCTGCTGACGCCACAACCCCCGGTCCTGTTTGCAGACACTGCGGCGCCCTCACCGGGTAGGTGGCCCCCTGGGCGCCCACGGAGATCCGAGGTCCCGCGCCGCGGGTTTGGTCCATCTCCCTCTGCTCCCTTCCAGAGGGCCCCCGCTTCCCCTTTCTGCTGGCGGTGCCGGGGAGTGGGCTGTTGCGTTTCTGGGGTGGGGGCTCCCTGGAGAACCCCAGGGGTGCGGCGGTGGCCAGGGCCTACCTGGGGTCTCTCTGGCACACGGGCGACTGAACTCCCGAGCCGGCAGGGGGAGTAGGGACGCCTTCCCTAACTTCTCACCTGTTCTGGGCTCTGACTTTCCAAGCAGCTTCGTACCCCCGCCCCCCAGAAGCCAGCGGGTTCCTGTGGGGGCTCCTTGGGGAGGAAGCGGCGGGCGCCAAGGGGAGGGCGGGCCGGACAGCCAGTGAGTTCCCTTTCTTTAGCCTCTAACTTTTGGGGCGCGGATCCTCACGCTCACAGCTTTGGAGACCCTGGGGCACCAGCTACCTGGGAAGAGGCAGATAGACTCACACTGATGAGGAAACCCAGACTCAGTAAATGCGATAGCACCGCCAAGTTACATAGTGCACGGTGGGCTCAGGACTTGAACTCAGGACTAGCCTTAATCCAAGACACTCCCAATACCTGTAACGGTTCGCTAGACCTTTCTGGTTCCATCATGAGTGCGGTGGGGGAGAGGAAAGAAAAAGGATTTACTCCTCCCATGTCCTCTTCCTCTGTCCCACCCTCTGTCTTTCCTTCCCCTCTCTCCAGTTTGGATACCCACCTCTAAAACGGGGCCAGGAAAAGCTGGCAGTGGAGAGAGCGAGGGAATGGGAGTCGGGGCTTGCTGCTGGGTGCTGCAGGGACTCGGGAGGGCGCAGAGGAGGGAAGGGCGGTATCAGAGTGAACTGAGAATCCCAGCGGGCTTCCTGGAGGAGGGCGTTTGAGTGAGAGGAAGTGGGGAAACCGGTGCTAGGATGGAGACAGTGAAGAGTTTGCTTCGCAGAAGCCTGGGTTTGGGCCGGGAAGCGTTTCTGACCCAGCGCCCCGCAGCTTACCAAGATCAGGGTTGGGCGGCGTTTCCTTTGGGGCTCACAACAGCCTTGCAAGAGCTGCGTTAGATCCGGTTTGTGGAACAGATCTTTGAGAGGCCGAGGAGGCGGGGTCACCTGTTGGAGAGCCCCAGTGAGCGGTGGTAGAGCCAAGGCTGGCCGTTGACCTGGGCTTCCCGTTTGAGGATGAGTCCAGCTCTCACCAGGGCCCATTTGGGCCCCTGAGGATCTGGTGTCCGCTCACCTGTCTTCCTGGCAGGCTCTTGTGGGGGAGGGGTAGAGTTCAGCCAGGAGGGCGAGGCTCTGCCCGGAAATCGCGGTGTTCCAGTTCATCCCTTCCAGGTCCCCCGCTTTAGCCAGGGAGCGGGTCTGACCTGGGGGCCAAGCTGCACGTGCCTGGAGCCATGGTGCTCCTTCTCCTTATATTCGTGTTGCACGCGCTCTAGTGGACTTTCTCTGTTCTGCGTTCCCAGGGCTTCTGGGCCAGCCTTTGGCTGGGGCCTGGCAGTCCAGAGTTCACAGTCTGATGTGGAGGGATGCAGGCGTCCAGAGTGGCACTGGGGTGCACAGTGTGATGATGGTGGGCCGGAAGCCAGCACAGGGTGGTGAGGGCCATGGCTAAGGGTGAGAGAAGCAAGAGGATGGCTGGCTCTGTGTGGAGTCAGGAGGGCTTCTTGGAGGAGGTGGCATTTATTTCAACTAGATCTTGAAGGAAAGCAGATGGTGGTGGCAGACTGGCTTTCCGCTGGAGTCCTGTGTGTGTGGGGGAGGGGGTAGTCTTTCTTGGAGGAGGCAGTGTCCTGAGCACAGGTACAATAGGGAGAGGGGGGTGTTGGCTAGTGTGAATACAGGGTCACCTGGAGTGTAAGGATAGGCAGATGGTTTGGGGGGTGACCCTGCAGGCTGAAAAGCCGGCCAGGATGCTCCTGAAAGGGTTAAGGGCAAGACAGAGGGCGGGTGGGTGCTTGCCTATAGTAAACTGAGGCCCAAATTGCCTGGGTGTCCGCCTGGAACCCGGAGCTGCAGGCTGCTTTAAAGGAAGGCGGCCTCTGCCTCTTGACGGGGGGAGAGATGGCATTGTACTGAGCGCAAGACTGTGCTGGATAGCCACAGTGTTCAAATGCTTGCCTCCCCGCCCCCACCGTGTGTGTGTGTGTGTGTGTGTGTGTGTGTGTGTGTGTAGCCCTGGCTGTCCTGGAACTCACTATGAACAGTTGGCCTTGAACTCGCAGAGATCCACTTGCCTCTCTCTCCCTAAGGCTGGGATTAAGGGCATGTGCCATCATGCCCAACCCACTTATGTGCCCTATGCTTAGCTAGAGGGCATGATCTGGCAAGTGGAGCTGTGAGCCAGGTGTAGGAGCCTGAGGCCAGGCTGACTCCTGCACATGGGGTGAGGTTTGAGTACCCGATGAAGCCTCCCTGTCTTCCTTGGCAGCTCCTGGCTCTAGCCCCAGCGAGGTGTGCGCACTGGAGGGGCCTTCCTTTTTTGCTGTGGGCTGCTGCTTGGGCTGGCCATGTTGGTATCGGGCCTGGTTCTGTCTACAGGCATGGTGTCGGGAAGACCCGGGCCTGGCTACTCAGGCTTGCTTTTCTCTTGGACGCCAGTCCCCTGGAGCTTCTGTAAATATTATTCTTGGGGAATTTGGGTGCAGCCTCTCCTGCCTGATGTGGCTACTACATCCTGGAGAACTTGGCGTTCCCCAGCTTTCCCTATTCCTTGCCCTGACTGGCTGTAAGTCCTGATCCCCAGCTTTTGGGCTGGAGAATATCGTACTCAAATCCGTGCGAGGATTTTAGAGCTGAGAAATCCCGGTCAGGGGCTATCTGTGGGAGTGCAACTCGGCTTCTCTGGCCTCCACATCTGTGGGTTTTGCAGGCACAGTGGCGGTCTGTCCATCGCTCTGCACTCGGTGAGAACAGTTGCAGAGTTCTGTGCTGAGGGCAGGGGGATGATGGGAAAAACTTCAAGGGATGGTTTGGCATTCCCTAGCGTACAGACAGGTTGGGGAGTCCCTTTGACATATCTGCTCTACCTGCTTACGGGACAGACAGGAAAATAAGGCACTTGTGGAAGGGGCTTGTTCCTGGATTCAGCCGGGGACCACATCACTTCCGAGTTCATCTTTTCTGCATTTTTCCTTGGTGGCTGACCTGTGCTGAAGATGGGTCACTGAAGTAAATTAGGCTGGGTGCCTGTACCTCCCAGTTCTCTCCTCTGATGGCTCCTTAATTCCATTGAGAAAGATGGGTGGTCTCTGTAGAGAGGACCTCTCCCCACCCCCTGGTCAGAGAGCTGGCTCAGTAGAATGGACTCCTCTGCTGGGCAGAGGAGTGGATAGCATGCAGGGGTGAAGTCAGACCGAAAGGACAACTTCCTGTGGAGTAGCTGGAGGTCTGCTTATGGCAGGAGGTGGGGACAGCAGGCTCTCACATTCACTCGGGCTTTGCAAAGTTCACCTTGAAGAGGCGGCAACATCCTTAGCCTTTGGATCCGTGTGACTGTCGCACCCTTCTCCTAAATCCAGTCCCAGACATCTCTGGAGGAGTCAGGCAAGGAGAGGGAAGGAGGTTCAAACGTTAGTTCTGTAGTCTGGAAGCTGTGGGCTGGAGTATGAGCCCTTCACCTTCCCCGAGCCTGGAGTTCCTCATTATGCAATGGTCTCCCCATCCTGGCTGCCGCAGTCAGCATGGCCTCCAGTCTCCTCTTCACACACTTTCACATCCTGGAGCTCCTGTGGCTGTTGTCCCTGCCCAAGAGGACTTTTCCTGCCCTGGGGCAGCTGGTGTTTATGGAAAGAGAGTGGGGAGGAGGGCGGGAAAGCTGGCCACAGTCTGGTTAGGAGGGAGGGCCCTCTTTTGGCTGGGACATGGCGCAGGAGCCGCAGCAGTCTGGTCAGCTGGAGTGAAAACCGTGGTGACATCAAGAGGCCTCAGAGCTAGCCTCAGGGGACTGCTGGGAGGATGAAAGCATCTCTCTCTGGCCAGCAGGGAATGGCTAGTCTCATCACGCCATTTTATTAGTTCCACATATATTTGTTAGGCTTCAGTCACCAATGGTTCCCTGAGAGCCCTTTGGCCAAGCCCAGGATGTGAGCCCTGGGGGCCCAGTGAGGGGATGGACGACTGGAAAGGCGTGGCCTTCCCTCTGGGTGGAGAAACAGTAGGAGAGAGAGGAGGAGTTTGGGAGCCTTGGGCAAGGGTCAGAACAGGATTCTCTGGAGTGGCTGGAAGGTATGTGAAGGAGAGACAGAATCTAAATAAGGGGCGAGAGAGGGTTCTATAGCCGCTTTGACCTTCAGGACCGCTTGAGAACCCTGCTAAGGTAGAAGTAGGAACTAGTAAGAGTGTATTTTGGCATGAGAGGGCCCAGGCCAGAGTGGGGGTGGGGAAGTTAGGCTCACAGCAGGTGAACTGCACTTGAGCAGCAGGTGGTCAGAGGAGTCCCAGCCCTGGCAGGCAGTCGGGCAGAAAGTGGAGTGAGGCCCCTTTTACCTTTCTGAGACTGTGACCAGCTTGGGGTTGGGGGTGGGAGCACACAGGGATGTGGAGGGCTGGGGTCGTTCAGGTCTAATCCCTGGGTCCTGCTTGCCAGGTCTGCCTGTGGCAGCTTGATAAGGCCTTTCTGTCCAGCTTTTCTGTCATTGTGGAATTGTTTAAAGTCACCAGGGCCTAGGAAAAGCTATTTGCATGACTCGTACAACTTCCCTGGTATGCGTGTGCGGTGACGGTGGTTTTGGGGGCATCTGGAGAATGCCGCAAAGCTGAAGTGAGCCTCTGCTGTGAGGCGAGGACCCAGGCTAGAGGGCCAGGCCCTGCTGCAGGTCAGGCCTCTTTGATGACCGGCCAGTTCACGCCAGGCTGCTGTGACTTTTTGCCACCCTCTCTATCCCTCATCATCACTCACACACAGCCATGCTGTTGGCCCTGTGCCCAGAAAGAGAAGTGTTTGCAGAAAGGATTGGGCATTTCTGTGAAAGCCAAAGGAAGATGCCTCCTGCCAGGAGTCCTGTTGTTTTGGCTAAGCCTCTTTGTCTCCCCAAAGCCTCAGTTTCCCCGGCTGAGCAGTGTATGTAAAAGGGGCTGAGCCTAGACGAATTGAGTGACTGTGTAACTTGATTGCTGGAGAGATAGAGGAAGAGGGTGGCAGTCAGAAGGTTGGGGCTTGGGCACAGGAAGGGGCTTCCTTGTTGGGGGTCACACGAGGTGGGAATAGGGAGGAAGGGGGGTGTGTACAGAGTTCACCCACTGCCGGCTCAGGGTGTTCCTTTCCAGCCAGGCTTCTTGTGTTCTCTCTGCATTTGACTCTCTCAAGACCTTAGCATGTAGACCCTAAGTTCACTTAGGTCAAGTCTGGGCTTTTTGGAGCAGCTGCGATCTCAGGGTCCCCCTCCCTGCCACTTGTACGCTATCATTGATTTTGAAAAACCTCTTTCCTGGAATTTGATTGCTGAACCTGACGGGGGGTGGGAGGGAGAGGGGAGGGGAGGAAGTGAAGAGATGGACAGTTGGCCTGATATGACCATTTCCTGGTGACCTTTTCTGGCCTCAGTTTCCCAAGTGTCTGCAAAGCGGCCATGATGAGTCCCCTCCCTTCTGTGGAAACGCAAAGCTAGTGGAAGGTCCTGTTTTCTAGAACCCAGCACGGGGGCGGGGGAGGGGCTCATCTGGGAGAAACGCCCTCACACCCTGACCTCCTCTCTGAAGCTCACAAACATGCCCTTGCCGAGTGGCTCTGATGAGGCAGGAAGTGAGGCCTTCAGAAGCCAGTGGCACACTGTCTTATCAGCCTCGGGCATAGCCCCTTCAGCTCCGCGGCGCAGGATCTTCTCCTGACCCCTGTAGTGACAGCAGGCAGGGAGGGAGAACTTTCTTCACGCGTGGGCTGGGCTGGGGGTTCCGGGAAGGGGGTGGAGGTCATGTCTATGGTACAGGAGTGGGGTGGGTGGGGGAGGAGTCCGGAGTCCATTTAGGAGAGAGCTGCCCCTGTGCCCTTTCTCCACACTCAGGGGTTGGGTGGGTCGGGAGGCTGTTTGAGTGTGTCTCTAACGCCTGTTTCTCACCCACAGTCAACCCCTGTTGTTACTACCCGTGTCAGAACCAGGGCGTCTGTGTCCGCTTTGGCCTCGACCGCTACCAGTGTGACTGTACTCGCACGGGCTTCTCGGGCCCCAACTGTACCATCCGTGAGCTAGGCCTCCAGCCCCTATCTTTCCTGCCGCCCCCGCCCCCGAGGATCTTTTCTATACCCGGACTGCACCCTGACGCCTGCCTTCTTCTTTGGCCCTGGCTCTTTTCCCTCCTTGCCTGGCTTTGATCCTGCTCAAGCCTGGCTTTCGTGCGAGCTCTTCTCTTGGTCCACTCCCACTCTGTGGTAATTCTTCTCCATGCTTCCTCCTCCAATTTTGGGTCCTGGCTCTTTCCTGCGTCTTCTTCGCTCCTGTAGATTCCTGCTTGGTCCCTATCCTCTCCCCATGGGTAGCTCTGGTCTTGTCAGAAGGGATGGACTCAGTGGCCCCCACCATCCCTGCAGCTGAGATCTGGACCTGGCTGCGGAACTCCCTGCGGCCCAGCCCCTCATTCACACATTTCCTGCTGACTCACGGGCACTGGTTCTGGAAGTTTGTGAATGCCACCTTCATCCGTGAAGTGCTCATGCGCCTGGTGCTCACAGGTGGGTGCGGGGCCAGCCTCTCTAATCTTGGGAACTTGGCATTTGATAAGAAGCAGGGTGGAGACACTATGATTGCCAGATAAACAAGGCCTGACATGGGAGGAGGCAGGGAGGAGGCGCGGGACGGGGCTGAGAGCAGACTGCCGCCATTATTTTTGCTCTGCAGTACGGTCCAACCTGATCCCCAGCCCCCCAACCTACAATTCGGCACACGACTACATCAGCTGGGAGTCCTTCTCCAACGTGAGCTACTACACCCGTGTCCTGCCCTCCGTACCCAAAGACTGTCCCACACCTATGGGGACCAAAGGTAAAGGGCCTGGGGTAAGGAACTGGCCTGGGTTCTCCTCTCCAGGCCAAAGCAGGCGGAAAATCCATTACTGGCCCATTTCATAGATGAGTGGAGCGAGGCAAGGCAGTCAGCATGTCTAGTACCAAAAAGAGAACAGAAGAGGCAGCTCAGGGTTTTGCCTAAGGTGACAAAGAAAGGCAGACCTGCCTGCTCCGGTGCGTTGATTCCCAGGACTGAGGCAGGAGGATCTCAAGTTTGAGGCACCCCTGGGCTGTCTGAGGAACAGAGGGAGAGGCTGACTACAGTTCCCATGGTACCCTCGGGTTTGGCTGTCTACTTCGTTCTTGTCTGCTGATGAAGGGGTTTCTGTTGAGTGGTGACTTGAAGCTGAAATGGAAGGGAGAAGGAAGGAACAGGGTGTTTGGGGTGCTAACTCAGCTTTCTGCTTTTCTACTAGTTTCCCGGGCCCCACCAAGGTTGGGAATAAAGAGTGTCTCTTTTTAAATTTTACTTTTTATTTTTTGCCTCCTGGGACCACTTCTCACTCTACCCCAAACTGTTAAGAGACCTTTGTGGTCATGCAGTTCAGAACCAACCACATGCACCTTAGAAGAAGGCAAAGCTGGCAATCCAGCATTGCTGTTGTTTCAGCTGATGCCACAAGGTGTCGCTGTTGGACACAAGTTCCGTGCAGCCTTGTGAAGTTTGTGTGTACTTATGTCCCTGCTGGGGTCTCCAGGATGCTACACTGATGGTTTTCACTCACACAGTTAGCTGCTATTCCCAAAGCACGGCCAATGCTACCGAGACAGCTGATTCCTTCCAACACTGCAGGAGTCAGTCCTGTTCAACAATGATTCTAAAGTGTTAGGTAGCCTTTGGTCCCTCTGTTTTCTCCTGGGGTGAAAACAGAGGGACCAAAGGCTGCGGAGTCCAGTTGAACATGTTAATCCACATCTATTGCCCACGGGTCTTCAACACAGGATTTCACATGCGGTATGGGGAAGGGAAGCCTTTACCAGAACACAGGAGGTCCTCTTGCCTTTTTCTATGAGGACAGTAAGCAACAGCCCCTCTGACACGGACTTGATTAAGGAAGACCTTCTTCTTTGTAATGTCATGGCAGACTCCTGCCTCATTACATTGTTTAAAACAGGTGTATCGTAACTGAAGTTTTACTGTTGTGCTTCCTTCCTCCAAGCCGAGCCTCAGGTCCACTGTGTCAAATACCATAGTCCTGCTTTATACATGGGGACATGGTCTATCTCTGTTCACATAGTTAACACATAGTGTTGCCGGTTGTAAACGCAGGTTATTTTGCTCCAGGGCGATGTGGTCTCTAATATTTAATTCTTAAAGTAGATTTATTTCTATCTTATGGGTGTGGGTGTTTTGCCTGCATTTCTTTCGCTATATGTGCATGTGGGGCCCGCAGAGGCCAGAAAAGGGCACCAAATCCCCTGGCACTGGAGTTACAGATGGTTGTGAGCTGCCATGCAGGTGCTGGGAACCAAACCAGGTCCTCTGGAAAAGCAGCCAGTGTGTTTAACCACTGAGCCATCTCCCAGACCCTAACTTTGTTGTTGTTACTTTTTAATCATGGGAAAACTGAAAATGTACACAAAAGTTGAGAGGAGGAGATGAAGAACCATGCTCTAGTTTCAGAACTACCCACAGTTCACAGTTTAGCCAGCCTTACTGTAGCCAGCCCTGCCCCCCCCCCCCTTTTTTTTTTTTTTTTTTTTTTTTGAGACAGGATCTCATTATGAAGCCCTGCGTGGCCTGGAACTTCATGTAGACCAGGCTGGCCTTGAACTCACAGAGGTCTGCCTGCCTCTTCTCCTGCATGCTGCTGTTAAATACCTGTACCACATTACACAGCTCCATTTTTCTATTTCTTTCTTTCTTTCTTTCTTTCTTTCTTTCTTTCTTTCTTTCTTTCTTTCTTTCTTTCACTTATTTCTTTATTATTTATACAGTGTTCTGCCTGCATGTGTGCCTGTGGACTGGAAGAGGGCACCGGACCTCACGATAGATGGTTATGAGCCACCATGTGGTTGCTGGGAATTGAACTCAGGGCCTTTGGAAGAACAGCCAGTGTTCTTAACCTCTGAGCCATCTCTCCAGCCCCACTTTTCATTTTCTAAGTTTTTCTTTCATTTAAAGTTAATGAATGATTAATGTGTGTATGTGTGTGTAGGCTGTAAGGCAAACTTGCGGAGTTGATTTTCTTCCTATCACTTCTTTGTGGGTTTTAGGGCTTGAGCTCAGGTTTCTGTGTCAGGCGCTTTATCTGCTGAGCCATCTCACTGGCCCCTTGGTATGACTGTGAGATGCCGTCTCTCTGTGTCACCCAGCCAGGCCTTTAACTGGAGCTGTCCTTGCCTCGGCCTCCCCACTGCTGGGATTATAGGAGGACACCTGTAGGGGGTTTAAAAGCCAATTCCAAGCACCAGGCCATTCCCTTGGCAAACACTTCAAGGTCTTTCTTTTGGTAGAGCAGGTTACAGACTATGTAGGGAAGGGAGGATTGGCCCTGAGGAGGACGCTCTGGCCTTCCTGCATGGCCTAGTTTGCCTGGGGACTTCTGGGAGCCCAGTGATCCCCAGCACAGGGGGACACAATCAAGACCTAGGCACCTACTGCTCTTTCCTACCCCCGCTCCCCAACCAGGGAAGAAACAGCTGCCAGATGTTCAGCTTCTGGCCCAGCGCCTGCTGCTGAGAAGGAAGTTCACTCCTGCCCCGCAGGGCACCAACATCATGTTTGCCTTCTTTGCACAACACTTCACCCACCAGTTCTTCAAGACCTCGGGAAAGATGGGTCCTGGCTTCACCAAGGCCTTGGGCCATGGGGTAAGTGTGTGGGGGCGGGGGAGGGGAGGCTTCATGTGCCACTTTGCGCAGGCGTCGTCAGAACCCAGGTGATCTGAGTGGGCCTTCCTTTGTCCTCAGGTGGACCTTGGTCACATTTATGGAGATAACCTGGAACGACAGTATCGCCTGCGGCTCTTCAAGGATGGGAAACTCAAGTACCAGGTAGTGCCGGCTTGGGGACAGGACGATGGGAAGGGCCTCCCTTTCTCTCTTACACACATAGCTGGGGAGGGAAACTGGAGAACCACCAGAGTGAAGGTGCTCAGGAGGACTAAGAGGAAAGGCTGGGAGGCGCTCACAGGGCGGAGGCAGATAAAGGTCAGGCTTGGCCTCCCAACTGCAGCATGAACCTCCTATGTAGTTCAAATTTCCTAATGGCCTCCCTAACAGAAATGAAAAACAGAGGAGCTGGGTTTTGATAACACGCTTGGCTGGGGCGGGTAAGATGGCTCAGCTGGGGAAGGCATTTCCCACCAAGCCTGCGGCCAGTGTTTGATCCCTGGGGTCAATGCAGAGAGAGGAGAGAACTGATTCCCACGAGATGTCCTCAGGTTTGCATTGGCCCCAGATAGCTCTCGCCTCTGCACACATAAGCAAAATCAAACAAACAAGCATGTAACAAAACAAGCATCAAACAAAAATGTAGTAAGATTTTTTTAAAGACTTTCATTGGAGATAGCTGATCGCTCTCTCTCCCTCGATTTCATAAAATTTACAGTTGAATAAGTAGATTCACATACCCAACAGCTAAAATGTCCGCTTTAAAATTTAAAACTAAGGGGCTGGAGAAACGGTTCAGCAGTTAAGAGCACTCGCTGCTCTCCCAGAGGAGCTGGGCTTACTCCCAGCACCACGTGTAGGCTCTCAACTATTTTAACTCCAACTCTGAGCCATCTGACGCCCTCTTCTGGCCTCTGTTGGCACCCACACACAGGAGGCAGGCATACATACGTACTAACCTTTAAGAAGGAAAATTTAAAACGAAGCCATGTAGAAATCTAAACTAAGTGAAATAGAGGTCTTCGGTGTAGCGAGATCTGGAGTGCTCAGGGGCCACAGGTCCATCAGGGGTCAGCGGCTATCGCACCGGAATATGGAAATAGGGCAAGCGTTGGTTTAGGGCAGGCACTTGAGGAGCAGCGGGCAGGTGGGCCAGGGCTGAGATGGGCCAGCGGGAGCCGGAAGTGGAGAGCTGTGTGGAGGAGGGCCCCAGGTTGGCAGGCGGCCTCGTCCACAGGTGCTGGGCGGAGAGGTGTACCCGCCTTCCGTGGGACAGGTATCCGTGTTGATGCACTACCCGCCGGGGGTCCCGCCCGAGAAGCAGATGGCCGTGGGCCAGGAGGTGTTTGGGCTGCTCCCGGGGCTGATGCTCTTCTCCACCATCTGGCTGCGCGAGCACAACCGCGTGTGCGACCTGCTGAAGGAGGAGCACCCCACCTGGGAGGACGAGCAGCTCTTCCAGACCGCCCGCCTCGTCCTCATAGGTGAGCATGCGCGGAGAAGCGGGGAGGCAGTGGGGTTATTGCACCTGGGGACAGTCTGAGCCCCAAGCCCTGTCTGGCCACTCATACTCAGTAAACAAATTAAAATAAGGGCAAATTAATAGTGAAAAGCAGGAAATAGAAGAGAGTTAGCCAATGTGGTCACATTCCTGAGAGGGACGGTCTCAGCTGGCTGCGACCTCAGGCCCCAGGCCTTCCATCCTGCGGATGCTGATGGAAGGGTTTGCTATGAGTCCGAGGGGAAAAGCGCCGAGCACATTTGGTCGGCCACCTCAAATCCCAGTTCGGTTCCCCCCTGTGCTGTGCCCAGTTTGTGTCCCCGGCGCACAGCGTCAAACCCCAGCTTACCCCTCCCCCAGGAACCCTCCGGTCTCCCCTTCTTAGCCTACTAGCCTTTGTGGAGTTTGGCAGATTCTAGGTGACTCAGGGACAAGATATTTTTGTGTCTCCTACGGGGGTGGGTCCGTAACCTAAAATGTCAGAGGGCTTCCTGCCTGGAAGCTTGGACCCTGACACCTCTGTCCTGACCATGTTCTGTCTGAGTCACCGCCTCTGGGCACAACTGGGCATGGCTGGTCCCAAATATAGAGCCTAATTCACTGGCCTCTGGCAGAGTCGGGCACCGGGGATAAGAATAGCCCGGGGCTGGTCAGGCTGATTCTTCTCAAGTCTGCGTCTCACAGACCGTCACCGGAGAGGCCGGGTCTGTGGCTAGAGGTTGCCCAGCACCCTGGCTGGTGGAAGACACTGTGACAAAGGCAGGACTCCAGCCAGCCCGTGTTGACAGTCCCTTGACAAGGGCGTAAATGTCTCCTCACGTGACCTGATGCACGGGCATATGGAAATCCCACGGATAGGAATAGAGCCTAGTTGACAGGTGAGGGGGGGGGTGAGCTGTGGCGAGACAAGCAGACACGGACAGAAGCTAGGGTGTGAGGCCAGATCTGCTAACTCCAAATCCCGTGGCTCCAGGTCGGTCTACTAAAAAGCCAGTTCATCTCTTGGCTGATTGGTCCAGATATCAGTTTCCTTTAACTATCCAGCTGGAAATGTTCAACTTACCTTTTTCCTGTCCGCTTGCTTTGTATGTAGCTGGTTCCTAAGGGAGCAAAGGAAAAACTCTGCTCACGGGATTCTGAAGTATATAACAACACAGGAGAAATAAATTACATTTAAACAAATGCCTAGGGCAAGGCTCCCCAGCTGTGTGGCTTTAAAAAAAAAATTGTTATTATTATTTTGGCTCTGGCAGCAGCTGTCAAGGGACTCTCTGAAGTCCTCCTTCCTCCCTGAGGGTTTCAGTGAAATGACATTTCTCACTAATGTAGCACCTTGCTTTGATATCTTTCAGAGTTTCTCAGCTTTAATTTTTTGTTTTGTTTTGAGACAAATCTTTTCATTTAGACCATCCTGGCACCAGCTTTACAATCCTCTTGCCCCAGCCCCCCTCCCCCCCATCATGCTACCAAACCCTTGTCATGAACTGTAAGAAAGAGGCTACATCGGGGTTGGGAAATTTTCTTTCTTTTTTTTTTTTAATTTATTTTATATGTTTTGGTGTTTTTGCCTTCATGCGTATCTGTGCACCATGTGAATGGTGCCTGTGGAAGCCACAAGAAGGCATCAGACCCACTTGAACTGGAGTTACAGATGATTGTAAATGACCACACGGCTGCTGGGAGTTGACCTGGGAAGAAGAGCCAGTGCTCTTAACCTCTCAGCCATCTCCCTCTAGCCTGGACACCAGCTCTTGGATTACCCCTTTACTGCATCCCAGGGCCTTCCTTTGAAGCAGCAGTGCCATTGTCTGGGTGTCTCTGTCAAGGCTGAGACAGTTCTGTTTTCACATCCCCTTACAAAGACACAAAGCAGAAGTGACCCGGTGGAATAAATGAACTCCAGCGCCAGCAAGGAGGCAAAAGCATGCACTTTCCAGGAGCGGCCCCGTCTCCCACACGCCGAGGTTTGCTGACCCTGTGTCCTCTCTTCCTCCTGCAGGGGAAACCATCAAAATTATCATTGAAGAGTACGTGCAGCACTTGAGCGGCTATTTCCTGCAGCTCAAGTTTGACCCGGAGCTGCTGTTCCGAGCCCAGTTCCAGTACCGCAATCGCATCGCCATTGAGTTCAACCATCTCTACCACTGGCACCCACTCATGCCCGACTCCTTCAGAGTGGGCTCACAAGAGTACAGCTACGAGCAGTTCTTGTTTAACACCTCCATGCTGGTGGACTACGGTGTTGAGGCGCTGGTGGACGCCTTCTCTCGCCAGAGGGCTGGCCGGGTAAGCTTCAGAGAAACCGTCATCAGGGATAGGCTCTGGGATCCAACAGGCCTGTTCCAAACCCCTCTCTCCTCATCTGTGGAATGAGCATAGTGTCACTTCTATAGGAGGCCATAAATAGCCCCTTATGAAATCTCACACTTAGGTGACAATACGAGGTTTTCTTAATTACTTTCATGTTGCTATGTCTCAGATACTTGATAGAAGCAACTCAAAGGAGGAAGGGTTTGGCTCACAGTTTCATGGGGATTACAGTCTGTGATAGCGAGGAGGCCATGGCAGAGTGAGCCTGTCTGTGGTGGTAGGAGCTCAAGGTAGAGGCTACACAAATCCCAGCTGAGCAGGAGACAATGAGATGGGAACCAGGGGCTGAGCTGTAACCATCAAAGGCTGGCTTCTACTGACTCAGCTTCAGTTTGATTTCACATTTTGGGGAGTGCCACCATTTGGGGAGCAAGTGCTTAAAGTACAAACCTATGGGATACATTTCAGGCTCAAACCATAGCACGGGCATTACTCCAGATGTCTGGGATATGGAGATGAACAAGATTATGTGGTTCTTGGACCCTGTCTCTTTGGCACTTACACCATAGAAGGGAAACAGTCCTGTAGCAGCCAGCATCACTGAGTACTTGTTGTATATAAGGGACCATGATAGGTGTTTTCTAATGTCCTCAGAATTCTAAGTTAGTACAGGACCATAGTACAGAAAGCCATGATGCTCTGTCAACTCTGTGACCCAGAGTTGAGTGTTAGGGTGACAGCAAAGCAGAGAGGTGGAGATGGAGAGGCGTGGTCCTGGTGATAGGGGATGACTGTGTTCTAGATGGAGAAGACAGCATGTACAAAGGCCTGAGGGTCAGAGGGCATCTGAAGGATAGGAGGCCCCTACAAGCATATGCTACTATACCTAAAATGCTTTTTGAATCCTATATTTCCTATCAGCTGAAGTTGTGTCTTCCCCTAAATTAATATGCTATGATCCTAACCCTCAACACCTCAGGATCATGTTTGGAGGTCTCTTTAAAGAGACAATTAAGACCAAATAGGAAATTGGGGCGGGGCCCTAGTCCAATATGATTGGTGTCCTTGAGACAAGGAGATTAAGACAGACTCACCCAGGAAGAAAACCCCATGCAGACCCAGGGAGAAAGTGGCCATCTGTAAGCCAAAGAGATCCACTTCAGAAGGAGCAAGCATCAGGTACTCTGGCCTCCATACCGCGAAGGAATATTCTTCTGTTGTTAAGACACCTACGTCATGGCCATGCCAAATGAACACTTTTTCCTTGGGATTACCAGCCAACTCCCTCTGAAATCCCTCCTTCCCTGCAGTTGGCAGCCCCCCTTGCTTTACCTCAGCTCTCTGGACCCCTCCTTCTCATCTTTAGCCCTCTGCGTCTCTGCCATCCTTGTCCCTCAGCCTTGTTGACAAGCTGTGACCCTTTAGTGGACTTAGATTTCCTCCTGGTAATTTGACTGAAACTTGCCGCCAGCAGCATAAGTTGACAGATTCCTGCTGTCCCTCTGCTCTCAGGTGGGACGCGGCTCGAGAAGAGATAGTGAGCTTCGTGTGAGGCTGTGGACTGTGAGGTGGAAGGCCTAGCTTTTCAAACTGTCAGAAGATAGCAGGTGTTGCTCTCAGGATGTTAAAAAGGAGCAGGGATGTGACAAAGCAGGCGTTTCTCTCATGATCGCCATCTGGGGATGTTGCCCCGTGACTGGCACTGTGGCAACGGCTTTGCATCCTTCATCTCCTTTTATAACCACACCCACATCAGCTGGATACTCTTACCCCTCCCATGTTGGCATTCGAGGCAACACAAGCTTAGCCTGTGCTGTGTCTGTGTGCCAGGGGTTTCCAACAAAACGCTTCGAGCGGTGTCTTAGTCCTCAGCGCTGCCACGCTGAGGGCTCCAGAGAGAAACCTGTTCCATGGTTTCTCACTTAGTGTGAGGCTAGGCGTCCTCACTTAGCCCCCACAGTCCTTGGGGTTCCTCGGTTTGTAGAAGTGCCACTCAACCGTCTACCTCCATCACCTTATCACATGGTGTCTGTGCCGCTGGTATTGCTGAAAAGGGACCACTGAGCTGGACACAGAGGCACGCTCCTGCAATCCCAGCACTCTGGAGGTGGAAGTAGGAAAGTCAGTAGTTCAGTGTTATTCTAGCTCCATGGCGAGGCCAGCCTGGGTTACATGAGAGCCTGTCTCAAAAACCAGACACGAACAAACAAGGCATCACTTCCTGGATTATGATCTTCCCTCATCAAACATGACTTTGTCTACACCCGTGAAGACTATATAGTTCTCCTATCCACAGGGAATACATTCTAAGGCCACCACCCCCAAGTGGCTGTTTGAAATGGTAGAGTACTGAACCGTATGTATGTGCATATGGTTCAGTAAGCCCCTGCTCTAAACTGGGTTTACCAGAGGCTGCGCTTGCGGCTCCCGGCTCCCCCGGGGCAAAGGAGGCCTAAAGGCACACGCACACACACCAGCATCTCCGCCCAGTATTTTGCGTCCCACCAGGTTTTGTCATCTCCCGGGTCCTTCCCAGGAAGGAGGTGATCGTAATTAACACCTATGTGGAAACACTTCTGGGGAGGTTAAACTCCTTGAGGAATTTGCATTTGAAAGCCTAGCTGCTAATTGCAGAATTCGAGGCTTTCTCTCTCCAAAGAAGAGGCAGGCAAAGCAAGTCTGGTAAAGAAAAGAGGGGATTGTCCAGCCCCCCCCCCCCCCCCCCCCCCCCCCCCCCCCCCCCCCCC